ATGGCTTCAACTAACAGTACTGACTCATATCCAACAAAGTGTTTCCATTCTAGGCCTATCTTTTGGTGGGGGGGGGACAGGCTGTAAAATAAACATAAAATTAACCATTCTAGTCTTTTTTTAATAGAGAGAGATGAGATTAAGATTCCTAGCTATTTAATCATTTTTTAACTTGGTCTTTTTATTTATCTATGTATTTATTTATTTATTTTAGTTTTATTTATTTTAAAGATGTGGGGTACAATTCAGGATTCATTTTTAGGGGGACAGGATCTCACTATGTTGCCCAGGGTGGAGTGCAGTGGCATGATCATAGTTCACTATATCCTCGAACTCCTATGTTCAAGTAATCCTCATGCCTCAGCCTCCCAAGTAGCTGGGACTACAGTTGCCACCATGCCCAACTAATTTATAGAGAAAAAGTCTTACTATGTTGTCCAGGCTGATCTTGGACTCCTGGCCTCAAATGATCCTTCCACCTCAGCCTTCCAAAGTGATCTTAATCATTGTTAAGAGTACAGTTAAGTAGTGCTAAGTATATTCACATTGCTGTGTGGCCAATCTCCAGGACGTTTTCATCTTGCAGAACTGATATTCTATATTCATTAAACAACTTGTTTCCCCTTTCCCACCTACCCCCAGCCCCTGACAACCACCATTCTACTTTTTGTTTCAATAAATTTTGATATCTCTTATAAATGGCATCATATGGTATTTGTCTTTTTGTGACTGTTTTAATTCATTTAGCATGATGTCTTCATAGTTCATCCATGTTGTAGAATGTGTCAGAATTTCCTTCCTTTTATTTGTTTATTTTTATTTTTTTTTTGAGTTGGAGTCTCACTCTGTCGCCCAGACTGGAGTGCAGTGGCCACTCCCGGCCACCGCAGCCTCAACCTGCTGGGCTCCGGCGATCCTTCCGCCTCAGCCTTCTAAGTAGCCAGAATTACAGGCGTGTGCTACCACACCTGGCTGATTTTTTGATTTATTGTAGAGATGAGGTCTCACTGCCCAGGCGGGTCTCGAACCCACGGGCTCAGGCAATCCACTCACTTCAGCCTCCCAAAGGCGCGGGATTACAGGCTGAGCCACCGAGCCCGGCTTCCTTCCTTTTAAACATTAAATTGTGTATATATACCACAGATTGTTTATCTGTTTATCAATGGATACTTGGGTTGCTTCCTCTCTTGGCTATTATGATTAATACGGCTATGAACATGGCTATACAAACATCTCTTCAGAATCTTGCTTTCAGATATTCTGGTTATATACCAAGTAGTGGTATTGCTGAATCATATGGTAATTCTATGTTTAATTTTTTTTAGGAAAACTGCCATACTGTTTTTTATAGCAGCTGCATCATTTCACATTCCCATCAGCAAGGAGGCCAATTTCTCCACATCTTCACCAACGCGCATTGTTTTTGTTTTTGTTTTTCTGGTTTTTTTTTTTGAGGCAGAGTCTCCCTCTGTCACCCAAGTTGGAGAGCAGTGGCACAATCATGGGTCACTGCAGCTTCAAACTCCTGGACTCAAGAAATCCTCCCACCCTAGCCTCCAGAGTAGCTGGGATTATAGGCACACACCACCCATATCCAGCTAACTTTTTTAAAATATATTTTTATTTTGTTTTATAAAGACAGGGTATCACTGTATTGCCCAGGCTGGTCTTAAACTCTTGGCTTCAAGTGATCCTCCCACCTTAGCCTCCCAAAGTACTGGGATTATAGGCTGAGCTACCATGTTCAGCTACCATTCATTGTTTTCTGTTTTTGGCGTGGGTTTTTTTTTTTAATAATAGTCATCCTAATGGCTGTGAAGTGGTTTCTCATTGGATTTTGATTTTGATTTGCATTTCCCAAATGTCTAGTGCTGTTGAGCATATTTTTAAGTGTTTATATTGCTTATAAAAAATAATAATTATTATTATATTATTTATATTTTATTGGCCATCTATATATTTTCTAGGAGAAATGTGTATTCAAATCCTTTGTGCATTTTTAAATCAGTTGTTTGTTTTTCATTGAGTTCTAGGAGATATATATGCATATGTATATTCTAATAATACTCAAGACTATAATTATTCATTACAATTATTAAAATTAGCCGGGCTCGGTGGCTCAGCCTGTAATCCCGTGCTTTGGGAGGCTGAGGTGAGTGGATTGCCCAAGCACACGGGTTCGAGACCCACCTGGGCAACTTGGCGAGACCTCATCTCTACAATAAATCAAAAATGAGCCAGGCGTGGTAGCACGCACCTGTAGTTCCAGCTACTTGGAAGGCTGAGGTGGAAGGATCGCCGGAGCCCAGCAGGTGGAGGCTGCGGTGGCCGGGAGCGGCCACTGCACTCCAGTCTGAGCGACAGAGTGAGACTCCAACTCAAAAAATAAAATAATAATAATAATGATAATAAAATAATAAATAAATAAAAATTATTAAATTATTTGGTATTGTTGCCTTAGTAGTTATGTAGAACAGAACATATTGCCCCCAAAAACATGCCCATGTATTTGTGGAAAGTTAATGTATGATTAGAGTTACATAACAAGTCAAAGAAACCATGACCTATTCAAAAAAATGTATTTAGAGTAATTGACTCTCCATCTGAAGAAACATATTTAGATCCCTGCCATACACTATACTTAAAAAGAAATTCTAAGGAGATCAAAGACTTAAAATGCAGAAAGCAAAACTCTAAAACCATTAAAATTAAAACTAATACTATTAAAAGAAAATATGGGAGTATATTATTACTATGTTGAAGTTAAGGAAGATATGGAAAAAGAAACATCTTACTATCATAACTTATACAATGAAGCTGTCCATTGTCAATGTGACTGGGTTGCCAGAGTTCTTAAGAATCAGAGTCCTGTATAGGTTTATCTGAGTAGGTTTTACCTGTAGCCCTTCCTACTTACTTCAGCAGTTACGTCGTTGATATCACATTGTCCTTTTAGCAACATTCCTACTCAATTTGAAGCGATTCACGTTAAATAATGTAGACACATTATACAGAAACTTATTCTGATAGTATACATGAATTAGACATCATACAAATTATAGTCTTGTTGTTTTACTAAGTTATTATTATTCTTTATGTTCAATGACTTAGAAAACAAATAATTTATTGTGAATGAAAGAACAGACTTGGCTACCAATTTGTACAAGAATGTAATAGTGATTTAGAACCTAACTTGACAGGTCATATTGAAGGGAGAGTAGACAGAAGACCTTGGAGAAGGGAGTTAATGTATGACATTGGAATGTTCAGCTTGAAATTCCTCTGAAATGTCCAATTAAAGATGTCTATTATACAGTTGGCTATATGGATCTTGAGATTAAGATAGGTCTAACCCAAAATGGAAAGGAAGAAGTAAAATCATTTCTGTTCACAGATGGCATGAACTTTTATGTAGAAAATCATAAAGATTCCATCCCAAAAATTGGAACTAATAAATGAATTTAGCAAACTTGCAAGATACAAAACCAACAAACCAAAGCAAGCAGCATTTATATAAACTAACAATGAAGCACCTGAAAAGGAACTTAAGAAAATAATTCAATTTACAAAAACATCAAAGAGAATAAAATATTTAGAAATAAATTTAACCAAGAAGGTGACTTATACACTGAAAACTACTGATTCAATTATCATGATGACAATGATGAAATAAGTGAAGCTAGAGAAGATATTTAAAGAACTTAATGCTAAAATCTTCAGCCAATGGAGATAAGGTCTTGGGTGGAGATCAGCAGAATACAGTACTGAGGAATGAAGGTTTTTGATATGAAGGTGTGAAGTGAGGATATCTTAATAAGAACTGACATTTCATATTTTGGGATCTGCAGGAGCTGGGAACTTTGCATCAACTTAAGAAGGCTTTAGAGAAAGTGCAGGCCTTGGAAAAAGAAATGCCTCAGAGAGGAGGAAGGCAGCTAAGGAACCCTGTGATAGAGTCTCTTGTGATGAAATTCAGCATTAACAGAGTTTGTTTGTGATAAGAAGTAGTAAATCTAAGGGCACAGAGTAATGAATTGGTATGGACAGCAGTAATGGGAGAATGAAGCATGGATTGGAAACAACAGTGAAAATAAGAATTTGAGATGGAATAGAAAATTGCAAAGGCTAGGTTACAGTTTTGAAAAGTAGAAAAAGCTGGCCTCACAGTTCTGATTGAATTTCTGGTGTAATATGTGTCTAATCCATGACAGACACATGGCCTTCCTTTCCACCTATTTCCCGTACTATAATTGAGGACATCAGCATACATATTTTGAACTAGTCTGAGTGGCAAGGGGTTGCTGAAAATCTAAGAGTCTGTCCTGGAATCTAATTTAGCATGGTACTAGCAAGAGGAACATACTTTGTGAAAAGAGAGCCAGACTTTATTGATCATTGGGAAAAGATTCAGTCTCCATGCATCTTCCAGAATAAAGCCTTGAAGTAGCCATGGTCCAAGAAGGAAAAAAATATTACTAATATTACTCAGGTTCTTTATTTCTTAGGCACAGTCCTAAGAACCTTTATATGCTACCTCATTAGCAATCCTATGAGGGTATAGACTCATTTTTCTCATGTCACAGTTAAGATAAGAAGTAGAGTTGTCTCAAACCAACATGGTTATACATGATGCTTCTTTAGAAAAGTATAAAAAACCTAAAGGTTATTCTCATCTCCTAATTTTACAATTGTAGGGTGATAGGTCTCCCACCAGATTACTTAAGGGTGTATGTTTGCTGCTTGAACCCTGAAGGCCAAGTAACGAGCCAAGACCACAGTGCCCAGCAGAGAAGCAGATGTCCTTGAGAGCTCAAACATTCCCAAGTATAGCTGGGAACATACTAAGCAAAACAGTCTCAGTGCACACACACAATAGGCAAAGAGCCAGAAAATTTGTTTAAAAGCAGCTTAGAGATGAGAAGTAGCATGGATCTCCAGAGCTGTCCTACTGCTGCTCAGGAGTGTCCTGTGTGTAAGTCTTAATGAATCCATCTACTCACCAGGTTGGACTTGTCTGAATCATTCTTTGGTCTCTCGAATCCTTCTCAGTTTGGATGAATATTCTTCTATACAGTCCTGGGATTTTCCTGTAACTACAATGAAGGAAAACTGAGCAAATAGAAGACAAATATCTAAGACTTTCAGATCTAAGATTCAAGGCCAAGTCACCTAAATGTCACTCTACTCTTTCACTAGGATAGATGTTCTTATAATATCTGGCATCCCTCTCATAGAACTTAATACTTTAATATTACAACTGTATGTGTGTAATATCTCTAATAGATCGGGTACTGTATGAGGGTAGTATGTGTATCCAACTCATGTCTATATAACCAGCCTCTCCAATGATACCTGGTGTTCAGTAGATATGTAAAGACTGACAGACTGAAATATGGTGTGAGCCCAGGAATGATATATCACATCTGCTTTGGACGCCCTAATATACACCGATCCAGCTTTCAGGGACATCTCTTAACCTCTTTGGACCATAGTTTTATTTGTTCAACCACTTGTTAAATCTATATTTTTATAGAATATTCATTAAGTGAATAGTATATAGTAATCAGTTTTCTGCAGATCCAACAATACCAACCCAATCAATATGCCTTTAAGTTGATAACAGGATAATAAGACAATAATATAAGCAATGTATATTAAATAAGATGTTTTATGGTAGAAGGCAGCACATAATACTGAGGAAGCTCAACAGAGGACATCTATTGTATTCTTTGGAGACATTAATGTTTGAACTGTCACATGAAGTCTGAGTAGGCGCTAACCTCATTAACCATGTTCCACAAATGCTTGTTTTAAAAATTGGGAGATGCCAGGACTTGTGAAGTTGTAGTAACAAGTGGCACAATATATTGGGTAATGAAAATATCCATAGTGTGATAATGGAGGTGAGTGTCAGAAGTAGAACAGAGATCAAGGTCAGTAGAGTTGGGAAAATCAAGGAACTCTGGCTAAGATTTTGCCACACGGACAATTAAGTCATTCTGGATTGTGAAAAGATGGGTTGGCGGGTCATTAGGGTGAGTTTCAGGTTTCTTTTTTTTTTTTGAGTTGGAGTCTCACTCTGTCACCCAGACTGGAGTGCAGTGGCCGCTCCCGGCCACCGCAGCCTCGCCTGCTGGGCTCCGGCAATCCTTCCGCCTCTGCCTTCCGAGTAGCCGGAACTACAGGCATGTGCTACCACGCCCGGCTGATTTTTTGATTTATTGTAGAGATGAGGTCTTGCTGCCCAGGCGGGTCTCGAACCCGCGGGCTCAGGCAATCCACTCACCTCAGCCTCCCAAAGGCGCGGGATTACGGGCTGAGCCACCGAGCCCGGCGAGTTTCAGGTTTCTATCTAGACAAGTAAGAAGTGTGTTATTTTAACATTGCATAAAATAGCCTGTTAATTTTGAGCATGTATTTCATACTAAGTGCAAGCTAGGAAATAAAAGTACAGATAGTTTTAAATGATTAATTCATTTTAATTGAATGATGGGCATTGTGAATATATTATATTGTAAGGAATATAGATCATGTTTGTTCCTTTTACAGGGTATTGTATTTGTTTTGGCAAATCTTTTTGGTCCTGTCAGGTTTGATTATGGATTTTGTTAGAGTGGGCTTACAAGAAGCTATTTCTGTATTTGCAAATTAAAGATCTCCAAAAACCAACCCTTTTAAAAAGCACTGAGAATACTGGCAAAAATTAGCAAAATCCACTTGTTAGGGACTGAAAATTTGTCTCCCCAAAATTCATATGTTGAAATCCTAACCCCCAATGTGATAGTAGTAGAGGGTGAGGCCTTTGGGAGGTAATCTGGTCTTAAGGGTGAAGCTTGTGACTGGAATTAGAGTCCCTATAAAGGAGGCCCCATAGAGTTCTCTAATTCTTCTTCTACCATGTGAGGACACAAGAATTTCAGTCTGCAACCCAGAGGGTCCTAGGACCCTCGCTAGAATCTTACTGTGCTGGCACACTGATCTCAGACTTCCAGCCTCCAGAACTGTGAGGAATAAACTGATTTCTTCATAAGCAACCAAGTCTATGGTACTTTGTTTTAGCACCCTGAGCTAAGATACTACTTTTTCAGAACTCTCAAAATTAACCGAATATTTGCAAATATCTGAGGGGTGTTTATTCAAGAAAATTGTCTGAAGTGATGTCACAGAAGATGGCAGAGCAGGAAGATTCAGGAAACAGTCATTCCACCAAAACAATTGAGCTGTCAAGACCTATCAGAATCAGCTATATCAGAACACTGGAACCTACTAAACACTTACATCATCCAGGGGAGTGCTTAATGAAGAAAGAGGCTGGTAAATGTCAGTGAATTTCAACATATCACATAGCAGCTACCATCCTCTATCTAATGACCCTGGACCAGACAGCTGTGGGGACATCAGAGCACAACCTAAGCTGAGCTTGCTGGTGTCAGGTGGACAATTAGGATTTATGCCAATGATTGGGGCTGTGTGCTTTGGTCTGCCTGGCAGTTCACTAAAGGATTCACACAGCAGTTATCCATTGTTTTTAACACTGGTAATGGAAGCAGCTTCCCAGATAGCATCTGTTGAAGAATTTAAAGAGACAGAGTAACCCGCTTTTTGTATTGGATCTAGGCGTTCAAGAAAACATCACCAGTATCAGGTTACTGGCTGAACATGAAGAAAATGGAACAGAGATTTCTTTGACCACACATGAGAAATATATTCCTTGAAAACATACTTTGGAAAATTCACTAAACAATGTACCTCTTAACAACAACATTAGTAAACCCTAAAGAAAAGGGAGACTCTGATGTCCAGATTTACCATAATATAAGCATATTATAAGATTCAAAATATCTAGTTGTTAACAAAAAAGTTGCAAAGTATACAAAGAAATAGAGAGTGTGGCCCAGAAAAAATTTAAAAACTGACAAAAAGCCTCCTTGAGGAAGGCCAGACATTGGAATTATTAGTCAAACGTATTAAATCAACTGTCTTCAACATATTCAATAATATAAAGGAAGCAATGAACAAAGAACTAAAGGAATTCAGGAGAATAATGTATGAACAAGTGGGGAATATTAATAAATAAAAAGAGATTATAAAAAAGAACCACGTAGAAATTCTGGAGCTGAAATGAAAATTTTACCAGAGGGATTCAACAGCAGATATGAGCAAGCAGAAGAAAGAATTGGGAGCTTGGAGGGTTCTTATAATAACCCCATCTGAGAAGCTTAAAGAAAAAATCATGAAGAAAAATGAACAGAGCCTAAGGGACCTATGGTGAAATTCAGAAATGCTGGAAATTAAATAACTTATTCTAAAATAGTCAATGAGACAAAGAAAAAGTCACAGTACAACTAGAAAATAATTTTAGGCAAAAGAAAATGAAAAGACAATAGACCAGAAGCAGTGAGATGCAGCAAAACTAGTATGGAGGGAAACTTACAGTTGAAAAAGATTGTTTTTGTTGTTTTTATCTTTTGAGTTGGGAGGTCTCATTCTGTCACCCATGTTGGAGTGCAGTGGCAGGATGGCAGTCACCACAGCCTCCACCTCCTATGCTCAGACAATACTCCTGTCCTCAGCCTCCTGAGTAGCTGGGACCACAGGTGTGCGCCACCATGTCTGACTAATCTTTTGATTTTTTTTTTTTGAGTTGGAGTCTCACTCAGTCGCCCAGACTGGAGTGCAGTGGTCGCTCCCAGCCACCGCAGCCTCGACCTGCTGGGCTCCGGCGATCCTTCCGTCTCAGCCTTCCAAGTAGCTGGAAGTACAGGTGCGTGCTACCACGCCCGGCTAATTTTTTATTTATTGTAAAGATGAGGTCTTACCAAGTTGCCCAGGCGGGTCTTGAACCCGCGGGCTCAGGTAATCCACTCATCTCAGCCTCCTAAGGCACGGGATTACAGGCTGAGCCACTGAGCCTGGCTAATTTTTTGATTTTTAAAAAAATAGAGACGAGGTCTCACTATGTTGCCCAGGTTGGTCTTGAACTCTCGGACTCAAGCAGTCCTCCTGCCTCACTCAGCCTCTTAGAGTGCTGGGATTACAGACGTGAACTAGCAAAAAAGAGAAAACTAAATCCAGCAGCAGAAGTAAGAAAATAATAAAGATTAGAGCTGAGATAAGTGAAATGGAGACTAGAAAAGCAAAGAGATAGCCAAAGACATCAAAAGTTGTTCTTTGAAAAGATCAAAAAAATTGATGAATTCTTAACTAGAATTATAAAAAAGACAGAAGACACAAATAACTAAAGACAAATGAAAGCACAGATATCACTACTGACCTTACAGTTATGAAAAGGATAAGAGAATATAATATTATGAACAATTTTACACCAACAAATTATGCATTTTAGATGAAATGGACACATTCCTAGAAACACGAACTACCAAAACTGACTGAACAAGAAATTTAAAAATTAGTGTAGGGCTGTATAAAAATATATAGACATAACAAGGAAAGAGATTGAATCAAAATCAAAAAATTTGCAGCCACAGTAGTCTAGAACCAGATGGTTTCATTGGTAAATTCTACAAAACATATAAAGCATTAATATTCTACTTAAATCTTTAAAAAAAAATAGAAAAGGAGGGAATACTCAAACTCATTCTATGAGGCCAGCATTACACTTATATCAAAATCAGACAAAGAAATCACATAAAAAGGAAAATAGCAATATATTTTATGAATATGGATACAAAAATCCTCTACAAAGTACTAGCATACCAAATCCAACAACCCATTAAAATTAGAGTTATAGCCCGGCACGGTGGCTCATACCTATAATCCCAGCACTTTGGGAGGCAGAGACAAGAGGATTGCCTGAGCTCAGGAGTTTGAAACCAGCCTGAGCAACTTGGCGAGACCTCATCTCTACAATAAATCAAAAATTAGCCAGGCATAGTGGCACACACCTGTGGTTCCAGCTACTTGGAAGACTGAGGCAGAAGGATCGCCTGAGCCCAGCAGGTCAAGGCTGCAGTGGCTGTGAGCATGCTACTTCACTCCAGCCTGTATGACACAGGGAGACTCTGACTCAAAAAAAAAAAATTAGAGTTATACACCAAGACCAAGTGGGTGTTCACCATAAGGGTGTAACAAA